TACTTGTAGTTCCCCTCTGAACCCTTAGACATTTCTCTGTGACACCTGAAAACATTCCTCTCTCAATGTTTCAGTAAGGATACATTATCATAACTTTATTCAAAGATCTTCTAAAATTTCACCTTCTGCATAAAAGTTTGTAAATTTTGTCATGCTGAGTGAGGAAAATCTTCTACCACTTGACAGGTTACTTGCTAATACTGTCTCTGAACCTCCAAAATACCACCCACTATATTTTGGATGCAATTATAAATAATATTTGTGGATGTGCCCATGTTGTGTTCATTTTTAAGGTACAACCACAGAGTATATGTCTTTTTTGGTCTATATTGAAAGTACATTCTGTTTCAGATGGAAGGATTTGGGGGAAGTATATTTGTGGACATATGTTTATCTTGCTTTGGAATTTTAACTACCAGCATAGCACACACAAATAGATACTTAAAATACATTTTTATTATATTACAGGCATTGTACACAAAGAGAAAGCAGTAAGTTTGAATCCAACAAAAAATGAGTAAAATTATCTTTTAGCCTAAACAAAATATATATTTTATGTAAAGGGGAAAATGAAAACATAAATGAAGACTTAAATTGGCAAATAATCATAACTTAAATCACCTTCGTAGATTTAAAACTTAAGAAAATATTGTAGATTTTTCTAGTGGTTAAATATATTATTGCCTCCTCAAAAAATGAAATACAGAATTTAGAGTGTTCTTTTGGTGGAATTAAATCCAATGATCTCTCTCTCTCTCTCTCTCTCTCTCACACACACACACACACACACACACACACACACACACACCCATTTTAATGTTTTCCGACACAGTTGAAAATTAGCAATTTTAGCCAAAGTACCCGTTAACTATTGATATAGCAACATCTCATTATATCTGAATTGACTTTTTTTTGACAATCTCATGAACTGAATCTAGAACATGTAAAACAAAAGATAAAAAATAGATGCCAAAGCATATGTATGGTACTCAGAGGAAAACCTCTCTTAGAGATTAATTTACTTTTATGTGGCACACTATTATAATAATGTTAGTTATCCTAAGTCCACAGTAATTTATAAGGGAGTAGAGACTACTGTCAAACTGATAGAAAAAAGAAAAGAAGAGTCAAACATTTAATCACAAGGGAAGAATCAGAAAATTTCTAAAAAGCAGAGAAACAAGAATTTGAACAGCATAGTAGCAGGAAGACATTTTCTGTACAGGTAAATGGTCCTCCAAACCTTAAGGAGACCTGGCAGCACCACTCTCTCACAGATTAGGTTAAAAACTGATCTCCATAATAGTGATTCTTATTCATGTTGGATAAACACCTAAAAATATTTCTATAGATGCTCCTCAACTTAAGATGGGATTATGTCCTGATAAGCTCATCATAAATTTAAAATATCATAAGTCAAAAATGCACTGAATACATCTAACCTACTGAATATGATGGCTTAGCCTAGCCTACCTTAAATGTGCTCAGAACACTTACATTAGCCTACAGTTGGGCAAAATCATCTGGCAACATAGTACACTGTAGAGTACGGGCTGTCTACCCTCGTGATTACGTGGCTGACTGGGAGCTGCGGCTTGTTGCCACTGCGCAGCATTGCGAGAGGATGTGGTACTGTTATCCACTGAGCTTTCTACTGAATGTTTATAGGTTTCACACCATTGTAAAGTTGAAAGATCGTAAGCCAAATCATCTAAGTTGGGGACCGTTTGTGTAAGAAATATAATTTAAAATAGCCTAACAGACAAAGTGATCCTCAGAAGCCACAAATAACCAAGAGAGAAATCCAGGGAGACAGTGAGCACTGAGGCTGGCAGCTGTGGATCCCCAGCAGGCTAGAGCAGCAGCACAGGGAACAGAAGACAAAGTCCAGGACTTGGGAAACTGAGCAGTGGAGGAGACACCCTGACTTCAAGCCAAACCCCACAGGGCTAAACTCTTAATGAAAGTGTGAACTAGAAAAAACACCCCAACTACAAAAATTGACCAAAAGATTTGCCTGTTTCAACTTTTATTCTTGGTGGAGTGGTACAATCTCCCCTGAATATTCATAAACACAAGGTGGCTCACACATGAGAAGTCAGGGGCTGAAATCCATATTACCTTACCTGGTCTTAAAACAAAAACAAGGCAAAGATTTAGTTTAAAGTGGGTTGGTTAGGAGCCCCAGGCTCCAGTCAGTGAAGGAGAAAAAATTCCAATGAGTATAAGCTTATAATATAAAAGGTACTATGAGAAAAGTTTCCATTAGTGAGGGTCAGAAGAAACAATAACCTCAGACCTGCAAAGACTTCAGATGTTAGAAGTATTAGATACACAATACCATTTCAATATGTTTTTAAAAATTTTAAAGAGAATGGAAAGTGTGGGTGAGGAACATGAAACTGTCAAAAAATAACCAAACAGATTTGAAAATGAATCAAATAGTTTTTATGACTACTGAAACTTAAAATTCAATGGATAAGCAGCTATTGAGCATAGCTGAGGAGAAAATTATTAGTAAACTAGGAAGTAAACCTCAATAAATAATCTAGAATGTAGCACAAACAGCAAAGAGATGGAAAATATGAATGAGAAAATATAATAAAAGACATGGATGATGAAATAGAAGGTCTAATATACATCTAATTGGAAGAAGAAAACAGGACAGAGGCAATATTCTAAAAGATGATGATTGAGAATTTTCCAGAACTGATTGAAGACACCAATCGTCATTTTTTTTTCTTTCAGGAATCACAATGAATCTCATGCAGAATAATTTTAAAAGATTCATATCTTGACATATAGTAAAACTGAAAAATTTCAAAAAACAAAGGGATATCTTAAAGTCCACGATAGAGAAACGACAGAGTACCTACAAATGAAAACTAAACTGAAAGCCTAATTTTCAAGAATGGAAGCCAGAAGATCGTGGAATAGTATCTTCAAAATACTGAGAGAAAAATGATCATTCTGCAATTATATAACATATGAAACTATGTTTCAAGAAAGTGAATGAAAGAAACACATTTTAGCTGGGTGTAGTGGCTCACGCCTGTAATCCCAGCACTTTGGGGGGCCAAGGTGGAAGGATTGCTTGAGGCCAGGAGTTCAAGACCAGCCTGAGCAACATAGCAAGACATTGTCTCTACCAAAAATAGAAAACTAAGCCAGGTGTGGTGGTGCATGCCTGTAGTCCCAGCTACTTGGGAGGCTGAGGCAGGAGGATCCCTTGAGCCCAGGAGTTGGAAGTTGCAGTGTGTGAGCTATGATGCCACCACTGCACTCCAGCCTGCTGGGCAACAGAGTGAGACCCTGTCTCAAAAAATAAAAAAAGACCACCACATCTTAAGAGATAAAAACTAAGAGTCTGCCACCAACGGATCCTCACTGAAGAAGCTTCAGCTTAGTTCAGGAAGAAGCAAAATGATCCCAGAAGGAAAAATACTAAAGTACAGTCAACAAAGAAAAAGTTCTTTTTTTTTCGGTCTCAAACTCCTGGCCTCAGTGATCTTCCGCCTCGGCCTCCCAGAGTGCTGGGATTACAGGTTACAGGTGTAAGCCAACATGCTTGGCCAGAAAAGGTTCTTCATACTTAAGATTTTCATTTTATGGGTAAAATTCTCACCTACCCAGAATAATACATTTCCTAAGGATTCTCAATAGCTTTGTGTGAACATATGATTTCATTTCTCTTGGCTTAGAGTGGAATGGCCAGATCATAAAACAGGTGTAGGTTTAACTTTTTAAGTAAATGCCAAACTATTTTCCAAAGTGGTTGTACCATTTTACATTCTCACCAACAATGTATGAGACATCTTCACCAACACTTAGCATTGTCAATTTAATTTTTTTTTAGTTAATCTATACAGTGTAGTGGCTCTCAACTAGGGATGATTCCCCCCAACCACCTGGGACATTTTACAATGTCTGCATATATTTTTGATTTTCACAACTGGTGAGGAGAGGTTGCTAGTGGTATATAGTAGGTAGAGGCCAGAGATGCTGATGAACATCCTACAATGGACAAGACAGCTCCCCACAGTAAAGAATTATCAGCCCAAAATGTCAAGTGCTGATGTCGAGAAATTCTGGTGTAGTAATATCTCATTGTGGTTGTAAATTTGCATTTCCTTGATAACTTTTGATACTGAACGTCTTTAAATATGCTTATTGGTCATTTATATTTCTTCTTTTGTGAAGTATCAGTTCAAATTTTTTTTTTTTTGTCCATTTTTTAAATTGGGTTGGCTGTCTTGTAATTGAGTTGTTAGTGTTCTTTGTATATTCTGAATGCAAGTACTTTGATATATGTGTTGTAAATATTTTCTTCCAGACTGTGGCTTGTCTTTTCATTGTCCTAATGGCAGCTTTTGAAGGTCATAAACTTTTAATTTTGATACAGTCTAATTTATCAATTTTTCTTTAATGTCTCATGCTTGTGTTTTATCTATGAAACCTTTGCCTTCCCCAAGGTTGCAAAGACTTTTTTCTTGTTTTCTTCTAGAAGTTTTATAGCTTTAGGTTTTAATTTAATAGATCATATAAATTTTATTACATTTGAAAACCAAACCGCTAAAGTGTTTCTCTCCAGGGAATGGGATTATGGGGGATAACATTCACTTTTTAAAATATATCTATTATATCTGACTATCTCCCTGCCATAATTGTTATAAATGATATAGTACAGATAATTTAGAGGAGTGGGAAAAGAATGGGAGGGGAAAATATATCTCTAACAGGGCTAATTTTATTTTTGGGCTACTTTTATTTATTGTTGTTGTTCTTCTTCTAGGGAACAAATCTGACCTTAAAGTCTTCTGGTATAATTACATGTATGCATGTTAAATCAAGTACTGTCCGATTATTTTCTATTAACTCCATGTAGCAAAAAAGTAAAGTAGTCTTTCTTTGAGAGACTAGAGCAGGCAAATACTAAGGTTAAACAACACAGTTTGACTTCTAGTATCCTTGGATCATAAAAAAGCATCTCTTAAAAGCAGTATTAGCCCTGCGAACACGGGAACATGGCTTTGCACGCGGCGTGGAGTATGTGGGCCATAGCCTGCAGCCTGTATGTGGCCTTGGCACCCACCGTGCCCTACCCACAGTGGCCCTGGAGACTGTGCTGTACAGGGGACCCACTTTGCTCTCAGTGCCTAAATTTTCAGAGAAACATGAATGCATAACAACAGAAAATGGTATTGGAGTAGTGGGAATCGGCAACTTTGCACAGGAAGCTTTGGGAGGTATCGTTTACTGTAGCCTGCCTGAAGTTGGGGCAAAATTAAACACGATGAGTTTGGTGCTTTGGAAAGTGTGAAAGCTGCTAGTGAACTCTATTCTCCCTTATCAGAAGTACCTGAAATTAATGAAGCTCTTGCAGAAAATCCAGGTCTTGTCAACAAATCTTGTTATGATGATGGCTGGCTGATGAAGATGACACTGAGTAACCCTTCAGAACTATATGAACTAATGAGTGAGGAAGCATATGAGAAATATGTAAAATCTATTGAAGAGTGAAAAATGGAACCCCTGAATAAACAAGTATGAAATAACTTCTTAACAATATTAATTGATGCCCCATGGAAAACTGGGCAGCACATACTACAGAGGCAAAGAGAATCCACTACTTAAAACTGAACCCCCCTTCCCACCCCCCATCTCAGAGCCTAGCCTGGGCCATGGAAGCAGTGTATTGGACAAAGAGACCCTTTAAAAAAGCTTCCTACTATTTGACTATTGGTATCACAAAACAACAACTAAAACTTTCCAATAAATCTGCAGCTGAAGAAATGAAAAAATGGTACTGGAATTGCACAATGTTACATATAGTGACATGAGAGAAGGTATCTTTGAACTGGGTTTGAAGATTACCTTTAAAAATGTATATTAACTGTCATAAATTTAAAGTCTAAATTGTTCACTTGATAATAGTCTAAAATTCATACAGTTTAATGTCTACTCTGAGAGAGAGATTTAGAGTATGAAGATGATTTCGGGATACTTTTCTACCCTCTCTGCTTAAAAAAGATTATTTACTCTGGAAGATTTGCAATAATGTAAGCAGTAAATGAGAGACTAAAGGAGGAAGAATGGTCCTAAATTTTACAAGGAATTTCAAAGACCTACAATTTTTAAGCATTCTAAATAGAGCTCCATGTCCTTGAAAGACTTTTTCTAGCCACCGATGACTAAGGACACCATTAGGAACAATGGAAACCACAGTTTAAAACACAATAATTGAACCGAAAAGTTGCCCTCCAGACTAAATGCACTTGATTCATGGCAATTGTACTATTCAGAACAATTCTCATGAGAAGCAGGAATGATTTTTCTTTATTAAATCTTTTTCTTGAATGTGAATTATTGCTTAAGATGCTGTGAATACTGAATTTAAAATGTCTCCTTCCTTCCACTTCCCCTCCCCCATCCACTTCTTTCACCCAATAACAGGCAGATTTGTCTACTCCCTGTGTTTTTCTTAGTGAGGAAGGAAACATTCAAGTTATTTTCCTGCATAAATTTGTACCCAATTAAAGTCTATTTTGCTGAGCTTCTTCAACCCTTCAGAACTCCTCAGTAAGGTTCTTAAGATATTAAGAACCTTAAGATATTAACCCTTAAAATGTTAGGTATCCCCTCACCCACTACAAGTGGCAGGTAAAAATAAAATGGCCTCTTAGCTTGGCCATAGCTTTTCCAGACACTTGAGTCTTAGAGGCATGTGTCTGTTTCCTCTGATTCTCCACTCTCTGGTCCTACATTAGCATGAGTAAGATCCCTAGCTCTGGAACCCTCAGAATCTGAACTTGAGCACCTCACAAGACAGCTATTGCTAGGACCCCTTGATCTGAGAATCTGGTCTAAGGAGAGATATCACAATCAAGAATGTGAAGAATGGGTTCTGGAGAAGCAAGAATATCAGAAAAATGTCTTGGGACTATGAATGCCCACAAAGGCATGATCAATGTTCTCTGTTCAGAGCATTTGCATAAAGCTATAGGTTACTATTAATAGTAATAAGTCTCTTCTTATGCATGCAGAGTATACCAGGGAGAAAAGACAATGGGAGATTTCTCCAGTGTATCAATAGACAAGTCACGTTTTTCATCTCTCAAAATATTCTATTCTCTGCTGCCTAAAATTATTTCATCCATAAGTTTCAGGATGGGGTGGAAATAAATGAAACAGAGGAAAAATAAAAATAACCAGGACCTGAGTTAGAGAGGAATATGTCACAAAGGAAAAAATATGTCTGGAATTTAAGATCCTAAGGTCTTGGAAAGAACCATAAAATCTACATTACTTAATGAATATGGCTCTATGTAAGAACTATACAATAAAATGTAAAATGTATACAGAGTTTTATGGTCCACAAATTAACTTCGCATAGAGTGAATTGTATAATTTCTCACAACAACCTTGTGAGACAGATCTCATTATTCTTGTATTACCCAAGAAAAGACTTGTCATGCAACTGGTAAGTGTCAGTGCTACAAGTCCAATGCAGGTCTGTTCTGACTTCAGGTCCAGTGCCCTTTCCTTTCTACTGCTTAACAGTTTAAAATGCAGCTTCAGAGCCCCCTCTTAGGGAGCTTACAATCCAGTTGATCATAAAAGATTCAGAAACAATTACAAAACAACACTAGGTAATGTGTAATTCTGGGTTAAATTATATGCCACAAACTACAAATTGCAGGAGTACAGAGTAAGTAAAGACTTAAAAGATAGGTAGAGAAGAATGGCACAGAGGAGAGAAAAAGCTGAACAAACAAACTCAAGAAACAGTAAGGAGATTGCCTTGGCTCTGGCGGGGATGTGAGTTAGTAAGCAGTGGGAAATAGGGTCAGTTTTAGGGAGCCTAGAAAGCCAGAGAAAGATATTAGATACTGCAGGGAGCAATAAGGAACCCTAAAAGATTTCTCTGCAGTGGTATAAAGTGGCGAAAGCAATGACTGTGCCATAGGAGCTCAGGGCAAAGGGAATCTGTGCAAATCAATCAATCCCTTCCTCTCCAGCCTCACAATGCCACCAAACTTCACAGGCCACCCCCCAGAATCATTCCTGGACTTGTGCACATGCTCTTCCCTCTGACTACTAGTCTTTCCCCTCTAATCTTTTCCCACTCCTCATCTTCAGCCTGAAGTTAGAAGTCACTGCCTTCGAGAACCCTTCCCTGACCCCTCCTGATCTGGGTTAGATAGCCTCCTTTGTAAATTCCCGTCCCCCCACCCCCGCCACCGTTATAGCACTTATCTCTGAGCATTATCATTTTCAGTGGGCTAGCCAGTCTCCCTTCTTAGACTGAAAACTCCAAGGGTAGGAAATGGCCCATCTTTTCTAACACTTAATCCCTTGGTACTTAATGAGTGAATCAGAGGAAGTAAGGAAGGGTATATGATCAGGAAACAGACTTAGGGGTTAACTTTCCCTAAGATTTCAGGTTGAGTATCCCTTATCTCAAATTTTGGATTTTTCCAGGTTTTGGAATATTTGCATATACATAATGATATCTTGGGTATGGAACCCAAGTTCAAACATGAAATTCATTTATGTTTCATACATACTTTATACCATAGCCTGAAGGTAATTTCCTACAATATTGTTAATAATTTTGTACATGAAACAAAGTTTGTGTTAAGTACTGGTATGGAATTTTCCACCTGTGGCATCATGTCAGAGCTCAAAGTTTCAGATTTTGGAGCATTTTGGATTAGGGATGCTCAATCTGTACATGAACAGGTAAGAAGACAGATGCATATACAGGCATACTAAAATATGGAGGAATATAAATTGGAAGATGGCCTCTGTCTCAGTGCAGGAGATATTCTAAGCCGTGTGTGTGTGTGTGTGTGTGTGTGTGTGTGTGTGTGTGTGTGTGTACTCAAGCTCCTTAATTTAGGGGAAGGCTGGATCAGGGTCAGGGTTAAGGCAGGAGAAGACATGCCTTTTATAACCATTGCTTGATGACAATAGGTTGTAGTTGTTTTTTTGTTTTGTCTTGTTTTTGTTTTAAGACAGGGGTCTTGCTCTTCTGCCTGGGCTAGAGTGCAGAGGCATGCTTATAGCTCACTGCAACCTCAAACTCTTGGGCTCAAGTGATCCTCTTGCCTCAGCCTCCCGAGTAGGTTGGACTACAGGTATGTGCCACCATGCCTGGCTAATTTTTCAAAAAAAAATTTTGTAGAGACAAGGTCTTTGTATGTTGCCCAGGTTGGTCCTGAACTCCTGGCCCCAAGCGATCCTCCACGTTGGCCTCCCAAAGTGCTAGGATTACAGGTGTGAGCCACTGCACCCAGCCTAGTCTATAGATTTTTAAAAACCACATTTTGGCTAAAAGGGAGCAAAGAATTCAACAACTGTCATTCAGTAACTATCTACAGAGAGCCCAGTGCTTTGCAAGAACCCACACAAGGTATTTAAGAGTATACAAAGATGAATCACAATCCTAGCCCTAAGGAGCCTTATCATCCAATAAAGAACCATATAAGGGAGAATTATGTTAAAGGTACAGAGAGTGCTGGATTCACAAGAGGGGGAAAAATCAAGGGATCATAAAAAATGTTTCAAGCAAGGAAATGAATTGATTGAGCTGTGATTTTAGAGAAACCTCTAGGATGGTCTGTGTGGTAGGGAGAAGCTAAAGACAGGTAGACTTTACATTAAAGACACTGCAATGGTCTAGTTAAGACACTGTGGTATAAACCAGTGATGCTAGTGGAAATGGAATGAAGGGGACATATTCAGGATATTTAAGAAGGCAGACTCTTAAAAATTGGTTATTAAATTAGAAGAAGAAATTTTATTTCCCAAGAAGCCATTTGCTTCTTTCTACTTTGTACCCAAATAAATATAAGGCAAAGGTGGTATTGTCAAAGATAGTTCTGATGAATAGGATGAGAAGGTTATCTTTATTTATAACTGTTCACTTGTGGACACAATACCTCTAACTGTTTTTATCCCGTAATGTCCCTCTGAAGTTATCTTCAGAGCTTAAGGCAACACAATTAAGTGGAAAGAATCAGAACTTGAAAGGAGAAGATCTGGATTCCAACCCCAGCATATTATTTTATCTCCTCATGCCTTAGATTTTTCATTTGTAAAGTGGGACAGGTAATACTTGATAGGGTAGGTTCTAAGAACAAAATTTGATAATATGAAAACTGCTAGAAACAAGCAAGTTACTATATGACAGTGCCAATATTTTGGTACCTTCATACTATCAGGTTACCCTCTAGACAGGACAAATATTTATAATACATTAAGAACAAGTATTTATTTAACATTGCCTCTCATAATAGATTCTACCTATGTTTCTGTGTAGTTATGACAATCAGATGGACTATATTATTAATACTAATCATGTTTAAAGAAGCAGAAAAATGGCTAAAAGCATTAAAGTCCAACAACTTGGGTTCTAAGGATAAATTAAATCTCTCTTAGCCTCAATGTTTTAACCTATACAATTGGAATGATTATACAGTAGTCTTAGAGAGCCACAGGATTACATGAAATCATGC